TAAAGATGCTTTGCAGTTTTTTACGGCATAACCAGGTTTCAATCACCCAGATCCTATCACTATAATGAATGTACAACTACTAATTTACCACATGTTTATTGGTAAGTTTTATGTTTTTTAATGTTTAAAAAAGGAAAACATGTTTGAAAATAGAAGTAACAATGGTTTAACAACCAGCTTTAGTTTACTTGTAATCTGTACGAGTGAAAATTTGTTAGCATGCTTTAGCACGTGCCCTAAGAAGTTTTCCAAGTTAAAAAAAAACAAATTGTCTTCCATTATGAAAACTGAAGTTTTGTGCATGTTCTTAGTAGTAGTTCATATAGTGAAATAGTTAAAATATCTGTAACTTCTAAGATAAAGGAATGCTTTGGCTTAATGACTTTTTGTAGGTCCCTCACAGCAATTTTAATCATTTCTTTGCATTTTCAAGTTTTATCAACAATAGCATCAAAATTAATTCACATTCAACTTTTGAAAACACTAAATTCTTTATCTCATGCTATTGGAAACCTGGCTTTACTTTATCAATAATTTTTACTTTTAGACAAAAAAAATATAAATACATAACCCAAGTCAGCAACAGAGTATTAGCCATTAGCATTTCATACAATATTAATAAACAGTCCTACATGGTGATGTTTCTTATTTTTATTTCCTTAGGTCATACATGCAACCTGAATGCTCAATAAGTTAGTTTTAACACTTTATATTTTCGTATCGTTGCTAACACTAGACAATGCTGATGTTAGGCCTAATATTTTTAGGTTAACCTTTTCTTTCGTCTTAACTAAATTAAACTAGAGGCACAACCACAGTACTCAGTAGCCTTACTTTTTGCCTTCTACTTCTAGAGAAGTTCTAGTTACACACTAGTGTTACGGACAATTACTAACAGTAATTACTAAGTAATAACAATTCCACAACTTAACGCTAGCTTGTCATACCAATTTTGAAATTGAAGATCTACTCTGACGTTAGTCGTTTGTACAAAATAATACTACAAAATACTAACACAGTAAACACTATAAAAATTAGTAAAATTTACTCAGCAGACATTGATTTGAAACTAAATGCAGACTTTATTAAACTGTCTTTAGCAGTTTAGTCTGAGGACCAAGGAAATATTCAAATAAATTATAGCACTTGTAATTGTATTACAGAGTACACTACTGTCCTGAGTTCAGTATACTAAATTTATTAAATTATAAATCTTTATATTATAATACAAGTTCTTTCCTTCAAATCACTGAAATTTAAGACCTTACCTGACCAATTCCTGGTTTCTCCTCTATTATAGTAGTTGTATCCATAATTACTAAGTTAATTTTGCACTCTATAAACCCATACAGTAAAGACACGATAGTCAACATAAAAATGGAATCTCAAAACAAAAAAAATTTAGGCTAGCCTGTACAAGCACTCGGGTCATCACAAGTCTACGCGGAAAAACATGACGTCACAAGTTGTCAAGCGAGGATACATCTTGTGATGTCTCTGTGTATTTAGGTGCAAGAACTTTTTAAAAGGCAGGTAGTTTTACCAACAATTAGTGTAATTAAAGAATTACATGAATATCTCAAAATAGTTTCTTCGAAGAGTCAGATACACCTAACTCATTTACAGAAGGTAACAAAATTGAATATCAAAGTCAAACAAAGAATGAATGTCTGATGGTCCGTTCGCTATAATTGTACAGTAGTATAAAATTACTTATTCGGCTTTAACTACTTTATACATTTACTCTTGGATTTGTATTTTACCTTATTTTATTAAGGATAATTTAATGTATTTGGTTGTGATAAATTTCAGATAAAAGGTAATTGTAAACTAGCTCAACATTCGAATCCACTACATGTCTAATTTTGATTAATATATATATATATAACATGATATTTTGTAATAGCATCATATTTGGGACATAAATCATGTCACCCTGCAGTTTTATTTTTCTCACATTCCTCTTGGTTATTTCATTATAGATTTTGAGTCAGTAGTGAAGTGAAATGAGCTTTTAAGATCTATTTTTATGCTCCCTAGATTAATGGTGCGCAAACTATGGGGGCGCAGAGAGTCAGTAGGTGGACATTCAACTGTGATTATAAAAGCATATAGATTATAGTTGATAGTATAAGTTTAAAAATAAAGATGTTTTAAAAGCTACTTTACAAATACTACTACGATTAGTAATGTAGTAACAACAATTAACATAGCACAATGACATGTTCAGTATATTAACATAACCTAATGTTTTGGGACAACAAGGAACCTATTGATCCATCTCGGCTGTCCCATCCTCTAAACTAAACTAAATCTATTTTAAAAATCTTAAAGCCAAACCTTATCATTCATATAGTTATCAAGTTTCTCTTAAACTCACTTAAATATACTGCCTCTACAACATCTGAAGATGACTCCTACCTTGCCAAAATTTATCTTTATGTCTCCTAGTCCTAGTATCATCACCGTTAAGTGTAGAAAAAGATAATGCATCAACACTATCAATCCCTTCTACAATCTTAAACACCTCAATAAGATCCCCTCTAACTCTTCTTTTTTTCAAGAGAAAACAATTTCAAAGATCTTAATCTCTCCTCATATAACGAACCCTCCATCCCAGGCACCATTCTAGTAACCCCTATCTGAACCCTTCCCAACAATTCAATGTCCTTCCTAAGATAAGGAGCCAAAGATTGAACACAATATTCCATATGTGGCCTAACCAGTAACCTATACAATAAAATTATAACCTTTTTAGACTTGTATTCAATATTTCTAAAATCCTATTTGCCCTACCACTAGCAATAGCGTACTGCTTGGATGGCTTAAGAGACTGATCAACCACTTAGCAAAGGTCCTAATATTGAGCTCCTAGGTACCCCAATCGTGATATTGATCCGGTTTGATAGAGCTCCATTTATAATAACCTCTACTTTCTTCAATCTACCCGGTCTTCTATCCAGTGAGCCAAACTATCCCACACACCCACAGAGAGAACTTTTGTTTAAAAAGCTTTTTATATGGCACCTTGTCACATGCTTTCTGAAATCCAGATACACCAAATCCACACCTCATCTACATAAGAAATAATATTTTCAAAGAATGCCAAAAGATTAGTAAATCATGATTTTCCCCTAGAGAAACGATTCTGGTTCTCTAAAGTAAACTATGTAGAGGTTTAACAGCTCCCCAGTGATATGTACTTTCTATTTTGTCTTATGAGATGACAAATATTTTTATTTCATTTTTCTTTTCTATGAAGGGTTTTTGCATTTTGACTTTTTGACAGTTTTTTTTTATATACAGCAGCTAGCTCTCTCAGGTTTGATTGAGATACAATCCGATTCAGATTTTCTCCTCGTAAAAAATTCTCTTTTTCCTCTCTAGAGAGGTAATCATTGTTGCTTTCTATCCAATGTACACGTCTTGCTGAATTGTATTAATGTGTGTGTTTATTTAATGAATCACTGTGTTTTTATTTCACGCTATCTTTGTGTTCAGTCTGTTCCTTCAATTCAGCTAAGTAGGATACACATTTTAAATCTACCTACCATTTCCTATCATTAATCTAGTTTTGTAATTACAATTTTTTATCTAAGGTAGTCAGTATAAATAATAATTTAACAGACTAATATGGTAGGAAAAGAAACTTTTGTGGGCTATGACCTCAAGATTTAGTTTTGCACAGTTTTCTGTGTTTCTTAGTGTGTTTACTTCTATGATTCTTTGTATTCTCTTGTCTATATGAGATTGAACTTCGAGAAACTTAGAAAAGGCATTTTCCAGGTGAAGAATCTATGCATGAGGAGACGAGTTAGTCACTGAAAGTGGTTCAGAATCTGAAAACGTGAGAGGACCTAGCAGAAGTCCTCTCTTGGGTGTTGTTTTTGCCATTGGCGTGAGAGGCTATGTCTATGTTCTTGATCAAGCCATAGGTTCACAGAGAACTACATTCAGGAATTTCACTTAAATTCACTGCCTCTACAACATCTGAAGATGACTCCTACCTTGCCAAAATTTATCTTTATGTCTCCTAGTCCTAGTATCATCACCGTTAAGTGTAGAAAAAGATAATGCATCAACACTATCAATCCCTTCTACAATCTTAAACACCTTTCTTCCTCTGAACCTAAATTATGGTGCACAATAGACGTGGATTGTTGAAGTGGTCTTGCTGTCAGAAAACCCTGATACTGAGTGGTATATCTATATGGAACCCCAGATTGTCACTGGTTAGTGAAGATGAATATTCCCATAATATATGTCGCCCACAACCAGGAGGAAAGTTGAGTGGGACGAAGTCTATAGTTTTAGCTGTCTTGCCAGGAAAGACAAAGTAGCATCTCATAGGGTAGATGAAAGCCTCTCCAAGATAGTTGTCATGCTACCAAAACCATAAACGATCATATCATGTCTCGAGATTGGCAACTCGACAGTCTGTCTATCAAGAACAAGGACAACGAGTATTTTGCCACGAAAACCGATTTGTACCCATGATGTTGTGAGTGTTTCAGCGACTTGGCTGAGATTCTACCAGAAATGTATTTCACCAATTGTAGGTCTCTACTGGGAGATGATACAAATATTTTTTCTAACATTACAGGGTTCATCCAAAGAAGATCTAGACTGATTTTTAAACATTTCAAGCAAGTACAGGACACTGCTTGTAATAGATTAGCTCAGACTATTGGACAGTCTAGTGTTTGACTCAATCAAGTGTTCGGAAGATGAAAAAGGTGTTGGTAAAACTTGCCAGACTGTCCAAGGACAACAAGGCGAGAAAACACCAGTAGAGGAGTAGCGTGACTGTCAATGATTTGCCAAGGTGGAAGTGTTGATCTGATCTTGACTGACTGGCTAGCATTTAGTATGGTCATTTGATAGAGAATCAGTTGCTGAAAGGAAGCAACATTCCTGACTTTCTAAGCTATCAAGAATAATTTTTACAGTCAAATGTTTGTAGAACATTCTGTGAGAACCATTGGATTATTATTATATAGTTAGGACAGCTAGTATTAGTAGATATGATGCCTCTAATAGTAACAGTTTATACAAGTGGGCATAATCACTAAGAGTTTCAAAATATTTGTAAGATGAAAAGGTCATCAAGTGGCATACGGTTTGACTGATATCTTTCATTAATCATTCATACTATTTAGTTCATTAGTGATGAAAGTTCTTTGGGGCAGACTGCTCGATATTCGCTAAATACACAGTTAGGTTAACTGTTTGAACCCATTTGTAAGTTAATAGGACTCTGTGATCCTTGCTTTCCAAACATTCAGGTGAATTTTATGAACTGTGACAAGTTATTTATACAAGAAACTATCTGATTGCACTTGTATGTATATAAGTATGATTTCACATGGCATTTATACAGAAGTCCATATCTTTGGGTATGTGGGCTCTGTATATTTCTTCCACAAGTTCCGTGAAATGTCTGTTCAATTAACCAGCACAGAAAATAAATCATATTATAATATATTGCAGTGGAAAAATCCTTGCTTCAGTGAATTTTGCCTGTGTTTATTTTCTTGTGATGCTAGCTGTAGTGAATGTATCAATCCATACATAGCGGTATGATATGGAGATAGTTCAGCTGTTGGTTTCAGTAATTGTCTAGGACAATGAATTTATTGTATTGTACCTAGCTTCCACGAAGCGGATTGTGGGTTAGTGCAATGGGTAAAATGGCTATTGGGATATAACTACTGGGAGCAGCAGTTTTCGTTACCATGGTTACTATGAGTTACTAGACGGCCTGTTGGATAATATAATGGACGTAGCGTGTAAATACATATCTATGTATATGGCCGAAACACTAAATACAATGTGGAACCACAAACAAAAATCCATAAAAATTTCCACATTATAGGTATTCAAGACTCAGACAGAAAAATAACTACGGTATGTGCAATAACCATTTCTTTATCGCAGAACACAATTTTAAATAAAAGTACTCTTCTCCAACAAGAACACGACTTTCACTAGGACTGTACGTGACGGTTTGATTATATCTTTATTGATGTAATTTGTAAATATAGCACTAAAAATGGAGGTCTTAGAAAATTATTATTTTTTCAATAAAGGGTACCACTTTTAATATATAAAAACATTACAGTTTGTGTCGGCACAATCTGAACACTTTTCCCGTAAAGTACTTTCCATAAAAATATTTTGTTAAGAAAATGTTCATTTTTTCTAAATTATTTTCAATGATGTATGAAATGTATGATTAGTAATTACTAGCAAAAACAGCCGCCCTTAGGGCGGCGTTTCTGCTAGTGACGCAATGCTGATATATGTGAGTAGTATTGTGAGCATTTTTTGCTAGTAAATATATGAATCAGTATCTTGGTATAATAACTTTAAGTTATCACCATTCTTTGGTTTCATGAATTCATAGTGGAACTCATACATCAGTGTTTTCAAAAGATCTAGAGTAATCAT